GAAAGGACGCACCTGGAAAAGCGAGTAATTCCAGAAAAGTCAGCCGGTTAGTCCAGCGAAACGGCGCTTTCCGTTGATGCGCGACGTGAGTGTTTTGTAAAAGGTGGAGAGGTTTCCCCGCTGGAAGCGCTCCGTGCGGCGTCCCGGAGGAGTCTGGCATGGTCCCGCTCCGAGGCACGGTTGTTCCATAGATTTTTAGGTTGGAAAAGACCTCGGAGATCATCCGGTCCAACCGTCCCTAATCCCCATTAAACCATATCCCTAAGTAGTTCATCCACCCTATTCTTAAACACATCCAGGGATGGGGACTCGACCACCTGGGCGGCTGGGGTAGCGTGAGGGATCCGTGCAGCGCTGGACACGGAAAAGGAAAAAAAGAAAGAGGAAACAATGTCAAACAAACTCAGTTTTGAAACTCGGGTGATGTTTAGATACGGATACTGGGAAACACCAGTGGTTCCAAGAAAGAGCTCGGGTTCCGGCCGTGAGCCTGGAAGGAGCGCTGCTGGTTTGGCTCACCCGGAGTTGCGCTTGCGCGTGAGCTTTGCGGAACTGAAACGGCTGCCTGTGGGAAATTTAGGTGTAAAAAAAAGCGCAGAGACATCCACGAAGTACTGCTGAGCTGAGTCAACTTCAGTGTTCCTCTCGCTGCTTGGAGAAGTGACTGATTTCCTCCTGAAGGGAGCCTTTTCACGGAGAGCATAAAACTTAAAAATAGAGAAGGAAATTTATCAGACTACAAGGAAATGTGTGTGTCAAGATACTTCTCGATTTCCTCCTGAAGGGAGCCTTTTCACAGAGAGCGTAAAACTTAAAAATAGAGGAGGAAATTTATCAGAAACTACAAGGAAATGTGTGTGTCAAGATACTTCTGGTTTATGTATATATGAAGTAATTTCAGTCGGACGAGGTGATCACTGTAGGTCCTTTCCAACCAAACTGTTCTGTTCTTGTGGATAAAACATCAAAAGTCATTTCGGTGAGAATTCCCCTGCGTAAAATCAAACGAGGTCGGATGTTGCAGGACCAAAACCATTTTGTTCAAGTAGCCATCCTGTTTTCATTGAGATGATTTCTTTGGTGACACTTCGGTAGCTGGCTAAGGCTTTAAGCAAAAAGTGACGCTATAGCCAGAGCAATGGAGAAAAAGGTGAAAATACTTTTTACTGGTCTGACAAATGAGACTATGAATCTGTTTACTGGTAAATAGTCTGCTAAAGCTAGACAGTTTGTTTGCTTGATCATAACCCCTGATATAATTGAGGGGACAGTTACCAGTTCTTTGGGAACACAGCACAAATAGCTTTGTGGCACCTACTGCATCTTCTCGGTTTGTAATTCAGCAGCATCACGTCTTCGTGATATAGAGAGGGAAATGGAGGCTGGAGGGTTCAGAATGATTCAAGCAATTGACTGCTTCCCTGGAAATTAGGGAGTGGGCATGTTTTCATTAACGTTTTTTGTAATGGGATTGTAAAAATAATAGCAAGTTGAGAAGTGGAATGTGAAAAATATGTGCGCAGTGAACAATAAATGCCTCAATTTGCCCAGTTCTGAAGCAATTTGTGAGATAATGTATCTCTGATATTTGCAGCTGTGCCTTTTCTGAAGAGGAGCAAAATAAACAATGCTGGGAAGATGGTACCTTTTATTAAATTCAGGAAAGCTACTTTATTGTTGGTCACTTGTCTTCTGCTTTAGATATAATCCGTACTATCCGGGACCCGGAGAAACCTAATACTTTGGAAGAACTGGAAGTGGTGACAGAGAGCTGTGTTGAAGTACAGGAGATAGGGGAAGATGAATATCTGGTTATCATCAGGTTTACACCAACAGTACCTCATTGCTCTTTGGCCACTCTCATTGGTAAGGCTGCTGTTTCATTAAATCTGTAACAATGAGCGTAAAGTTAATTTCAGGTTGTCTGAATAACATCAGTTATTAGTTAAATTAGTTAATAATTTAGTTAAAATTTAGTATTGTGTTCCCAGTAGTTTAACCAGGAATTTCATCCTGAGAACCCTGCTAGCAATGCCAACAAACACAAAAAAACCCAGAAGAAATGTGGGGACATCCATCTGTTTTTATCAAGTTAGGGAAACTTCAAAGAGAAGCTCTCAAAAATCTACTGGGAAGTGGCACAGAATTCCTTCCTTATATTCTCCAAATTATTTTAGAAATGTTAAATTGGAATTTTTCCAGCCTGTAAAACTTTATGTTTACCTCCCTTATCTTTCCCTTACCTTACGGGCTGTTCTTTGTCCCCACACATGTACAAAAAGCCCCACATGCAATCCAAGAACACACAAAAAAGTTATGAACTGTTAGGAGTTTGAAAGCAATTAAGTTGAATGAGAATCTACACTGGCTTGTTTTGCTTTTTGTTTTTCCCCTTGTTATTTGTGGTGAGATTACGTCTGAAGAATCACATCTGAGATCTCCGAATGATTTGTTTAAACGTACCAATGTTAGCAACTCTTGCCATTGTGTGTCAATACTAAGATTTCTCAGTCTATTTTAAAGATTTAAGGGAAAATAAGTCTTCAGTTTATTTCATAGATTTCATAGATTTCTAGGTTGAAAAAGACCTTAGAGATCATCCAGTCCAACCATCCCTAATCCCCATTAAACCATATCCCTAAGTAGATCATCCACCCTTTTCTTAAACACATGCAGGGATGGGGACTCAACCACCTTCTTATTGAAGAATTACATGCATTTAAGCCTAAATAAACCTTTGCAGCTTTATGTAGAAAGTAAAAGTATAGACAGTAAAGCATTAGCCTGCCAAACAGCGGCAATTTATTTCTAGTTTGACCCTGTTAGGAATGTCAGTGGGTCAAGGCTCCGACCTGAGGATCAGTGATGTGCGTGTCAAATCCTGAATTTCGTGCTGATGGTGTTCTCAGCACTCGGAGGTCAGCCAGGTCCGTGATGTCTGGCCGGCTGGGCAGTCGGTGTCGGTGGTGTGTGACCTCCGAAGCACCGTTCCTCGTGCCCTTGCAGGAAAGGGTATGGTGAATGTTTTAAATAGTCGAGCAGGACGTGTAGGAATGCAGGCAGTAAAGAGGTTTTTTCCCAAACTTCCAGAGGACTCTAAGCTGGTAGTTCCTTTGGGGAGTGTTTTCTGTTGCCGTTACCAGTGGCTCAGCCCGAGGACAAACTGGGGCTGCGGTCTGGCTGTGTCAGCCCATCACAGAGCCAGGGCTGGTGGGAAGCTGCAACGGAATGGTGGTGGGGATCTTCCCAAACTTGGATCTCGCTCCCAAAGGGGAGCCACAGCACTCCTCTGCTCAGCCTGTGTGTTAGACATTAATAGTGAAGTTAGGAGCTTGAATTGTCCCCAGGTGAGTGCGGGCTCGTGTTCTTCAAACAATTTATGTGGGCTTTTTTCAACAAAAGTTAGAAAACGAAACAGGCATTTTTATCGGTACAGATGCAGCCACAGTGGCAGCCAAGAAGCTCTATCAAAAACACTGAAGAAAGCTGGAAATGGAGGAATTTGTCTGTATTTAGTGTTTCAAGGAGGTGTTTAGAGACAGACTCCTAAGCTCGTAAGGCAGGTGTGAGCTGAACTGGGAAGCTGTGCCTGGAAGGCCAAACCGCAGGGGATTTCAGTCTCCTCTGGGGCTTGTGCTGCTCGGAACACACAAGGAGCAGGTCGTCGGTGACACGGGTGGGTTTTGATCGTTGCATGTGAATTCTCTGCAAACGCACCTCAGACCTTGAATTTTACAATAAAATCTCCTATCTGTTTTGTTTAAACAGGCCTTTGTTTAAGAATAAAACTACAGAGATGTTTGCCCTTCAGACATAAGGTAAAGTGTCGGTCCTGGAACTCGCTTTAAACCCTGTGAGTATGTGCCAGGTTCTCTTCAACAGAGCGTGTGCTGCAGGACCGCGTAACTGGCACGGTGTGCTGCAGGACCACGTAACTGGCACGGTGTGCTGCAGGACCACTGGCACGCTGGGATGGAGGATGGGTCTTTTTAAAGCTCCTTGTTTGCCTGTGGAGGGAGGGAATGTCGCAGTACGGGTAGCACCTGCAGGGATCGGTGAATAACCGTGGTTCTCCCTTTCCTTTACAAAAGACTGCACTTGTGAAATACACTGAATTTCCAGGAGTTTCCTCACCAGCTTTCGGGTTCTCGCTCAGTGAAAGAGAGGGAGTTTTCAAATCCAGTGTTACAAAGAATCCAAGCCATGCTCTTGCTTTGGGGAAAATGAATTTGGCCTTCTGCAATATTTCAATACATCTAAGCATCATAAATAGAAAATATTAATAGTTACTGACCCTGCTGTTCCATTTGGAATATCTGAGAGTTGTCTCCAGCGGACCAGCCCTCTGGCTCAGAGCAAGCAGCCCTGAAAGCATGAGAACTACTCCATTGTCAGTTAGAAACTGGTGAAGGGGAGTTCCATGACTTTGTGTAGGCATCATCTAGGAAGTAAAAACTTCAGAACAGGTTCGTTAGAGTTTAGAAGGGCTGCAGAATTCCAAACTGGGACTGCATTGAGCCTAGGAAGTAAAAACTTCAGAACAGGTTCATTAGAATTTAGAAGAGCTGCAGAATTCCAAACTGGGACTGCATTGAGGGAACCTCTTTATGACCTGTGTCTTAGGAACTGTCAGATAGATGGTATTGGGGCCTGATGCTGGTCAATATGCTGTCCCTAACTGGAGCCAGCTCTGGCTGTTTTACTGGAGTGTGAGAAAGTGGATAGGAAACGGGGTTAATGTGTCCTTAAAGCAAGCTGTTTGGGTCTTAGCAGGAGCTAAGAGTGGACCTTTAATGACAAACTTAGTCTTTTATAAACCTTTAGCAACTTGCCTGAAATAATTTAAAGTATAAATTCATTATGTGAAGATTTCTGGTGTTGACAAGGCTTATGGTCTGTTCCCATGCAGGAAGGAGATATTACATTACACTGCCATTTTCAAATGGAATATCTATGATTCTCATCATTGAGCAAAACTTACTAAGAATATCTTATTAGGGATCTCTCCCTAAGGATGCCTTAGCATGTGGAAGTAACACATGCAAGTCTGGTGGCTTTTAAACAGAAGTTCGTTTAAAAACTGGAAAAGCAGTGCCAATCCTCCACTTCATTTCCAGTCGCCTCACTGCAAATACTTTTATGCCTCCACAATTTTGAGGAAAGATTATTGGGACCTCTCCGAGGTGGAGGAGGAGATCGTCTTGTGGTTGCGTTGCAGCGAAGTCTAAGATCAGCTCTTGTCATCCCTCTCCTTTCATTGTCCGTGAGCATTTGACATGCATCGTGTGCATACTGTACAGGTTTTTTTCTTCCAGTAATGAATATATTCAGCTGTTGATGTACGCATCTAACACTAATGATCTCTCCTCTAGCTGGAAATCTACATATCCGAAGGTACCCATTCCACCGAGGAAGACAGTAAGTAGAGGCTATAGACGAGCGCTGCTTTACACGGTGTGTTTGTGTTTTGAGAAGCCCTTTTCTGCCCCTGCCTTACTGCCCCTTTCAGGGATAAATGTGCTGCTAAACCATTAGCATGACACATTGAAGCTGTTTCAGTGGCTGTATGGCACTGTGAACACACGCCTGGTGTTGCCGTGTTGGTTTTTTTAAACAAAACCCACCCACGGTTTGTGCAGGTGTCGAGTTGTGTTTGTAACAAAAGAAGTTGTTTCTGTGCTGCGGAATAATTAACACCAAGAACTTCTTGATCTTGCTACCTGAATGTCATCATAACAAAAATACATGTTTCTCAGTCAGTGTTTAAAATAAAACTTGTAGAATATCAAAATTCTGTCAAAGCTGTAGGGAGTCACTGGCTTAAAGAGCCGTTAAAGCCTGTGTCCAGGCAACGTCCCGGGCTTTTTTGTTCTTTGTGTGGGGAAAAGCCGTTCTTTTGATGAAACCATTAGAAATCGGACCTGGAGAACTCAGACTACTAATTTGTCACAAATTTCACGTTTGTTTTCGAGACGTGTCATTAGTGCATCTTACAGTTTTTTTGCTAAACTAGAAAAGTAACAAAAAAGTTTGGTTTCTGCTGGTTGGTCTTTTGTGACTGAGCTTTCATTTGCTTTGTTCTCAATTTCCTGTTAATCCTCTGGCCTTTGGCCACTGGCCCTTCAGCACCCCCATATTCCTCGTGTCTGGTCGTCCAGCTGTTGTACCTGGCACAACCTTCCTACCCCAGACCATGCAACTTAAACGTCTGCCTGCACAGTGCTTTACCAGCTGTTGTACAAATTTCGATTTTGGCTATTACTCAAATAATATCTTCCACCTAAAAAGAAAATTGAAAAGAGAGTGGACACAATGTGCCTGTACAGCAGCATTTGCTCAGTCTTCGAGCTGGCCCTTCACGGGGTTTCCAGCATCCTGGCTGCAGTGTGATCTCCAGCGTTCGGCACGGTGCTGGTGCAGGATGTGTGAGGTACCACTGAAAACTGCTTCTGACTTGACTTTTTTTACTGTGATGTTTTGCAGTCAACAAGCAAATCAATGACAAGGAGAGAGTAGCAGCTGCGATGGAGAATCCAAACTTGCGTGAAATTGTGGAGCAGTGTGTGACAGAGCCTGACTAGTAGCTGTAATACCCACAGAGTTGTCATTTTGATACATTTCTTAAAATGTTTTTGTTTAAAAAAAAAAAGAAAATAATAATAATCAAGGCCTTCAGTTTAATACTTGAGTTCTTTTTATCTTCCACATGTTTTTTAAAAGAAATTGTTTATAAGATAGATTTAAATTATGATGAATTAGTCTCTAAAACAAAGTGAAGTGTATAGTGTTAAGAGTTTGTAATTTCTGGTGTCCAGAGAAATATTTTATGATTAAAAACAAAACAACACGTATGTATTGCCTTCTGATAGGCGTTGTGATATAAATTCCATTTTGCAAGTTAAATTTCTACATTGTTTCAATCACTGCACTGTAAAAATAAAACAGATTCTTGTACCGAAATGCTGCTTTCTTAGTTGAGTTGTTTTTTCTTTAAGCCTAGATTTAGATTTCTGTTAGAGAAGGAAACATTTAATTCAGCTTCCTAAACACGTTAAAGCTGGAATGAATTCAGAATTTGGAACCAAAGGACTGGACTAGCAAGAGGTGATTTTTACTGGGACGTTATTCCTGAAAAAAATGCGTTTTTTCTCTGTAAATACAGGTTTCTGATTCTGCAGGCTTTGCATTTTAATTATCCTGGGGCTAAAGCTTTCCTCTGGATGAGATCTTGCCACTTCGATCCTTCTTTGTCTTATGACTTAACCTGCAGCGTGGAAGGTGAGCGAATCCCACAGCCCTTCATCCCTCTGGTTCCCACCGTCCTGTTTCTTTCTGCTGCTCCCTCGCTCACCGTATCCGAGGCCTCCGTAACGTCGCCAGCTGTCACGTGTTTTTGCACTGGAGAAGATCCCTAGGGTTAGTTTCTGTTGCAGCTGTGGATTTGACCATGGATTTACCTTTCCCTGAAGAATTAGGCAGATGTTTCTCGCTCAGCTGTCCTCCTCCCAGTGGAAGTGATGTTCTGCATCTGCTCTACAGCCTCAGGAGGGCCCCAGTGGTAAATGGATGTGCGGGGGGAGAGGCTGCTGCCACCCATCTCCTGCCCCATGGCACTGCCCAGCTATTCCGGTGTCTCAGGGGGTGTAGCAGTTATCCCCTGCAGTGGTTCATGAGAGATTTCGGGAGCCGTTCCGCCGTGAAACAGGGATTCCTCTAGTGGGCTTGTATATGGTTGAACGGGGAGAAATCCTTGGAGATCGGTGCAAACATCTGCTGAGATTTCAAGGATTTGTAACCATTTTAATATTAAGCCACATAAAGCTTTCCCGACGGCATGAGATGATCCAATGGACTCCAGCTCGGCTGCGCGTTATAAACGGGGGGGGGGGGATTGTTCCCGTTGTAAAACAGCACACTGACACGTCACAGCTGTGCCAACAAGAGCTCGTAATCCCACTATTTCAGTGCCAAAGTTATCTTAAAAAAAAAAAGGAAAAAAAAAAAAGGGAAAAAGAAAAAAAAAAAAAAAAAAAAAAAGGGGGTAGGGAGGAAGAGAACAATCCCCTTTTTCCATAAGTTACAGCAGAACTGTCAGTTCTAGCGTATGTGTGGAAAATTACTTTCCTTAACTTCAGTTACTCAGCTTCAATGAAGTTTTACTTGGATGTCAAAAGCCCTTGTACCCTCCCTGCTCACCCCGAGTTCAGCTCGAGGAAAGCCGTGTGTCCCTCCGCAGCACTTCCTACGGATGCTTCTGGAAACAGATGTAAGCTGAAACGTGGGAGCTGCCGTGTCCCCCGCCTCAGGCATTCAGCGGGATGCGAAGGGAATCAGCTACTTGATGTTTGCATGAGAAACTAAAAACTTGAACTTGGTACTGTTTTGAAAATAGATATAGAACCCATGGACCAATTATTTATTTTTTTTTTAAATACTACTTTGGGCAAAACCTAAAATCTCTATTTAGACTCCTGCTGGAGTTGTCTATCATGAAGTACCCCAAAAGATGCATTTTGCAAGGTTTTCCGTTGTGGTTTTGTGTTTCTTTGTGTTGTTTCTTTTTTTTTTCAGCTGGGAAGACTCATTAAATGGTAATTACTTCTGTAAAATATTTTTTTTCTATGAAAAGCAGGTGGAGATGTTTTTCTATGATAAGGTTCCCAGTTTTGGCGTGCCACACCACTAAAACAGAAGTGTAGAACAAGAGCAATGTTTTGGTTCCCCAGTGTTTACTCTTTAATTAACTGGTTAGATGGAAACCGTTGCAAATTGTAGTTTTGGTAAATGCAATTAGCAGTTCAGCATGAAGGATTTATTCTGCATAGTTAGTAACTGTCATCATCAGCCCAGCGCTTCTAATGCGACTCTTCTTCCAAAAATGTTTTCATTGCTAACCCATGGTGTTCCATGATGGTTGCACTGCTCCTTGCCACTTCTGTGTTTGTTTATTGCTCCGTAGTGCTGTCCTGCATCGTGTCCAAAATGTCTTCAAGGTAACGTCTGCAAGTCTGCACGAAGTCGGTTTAGAAGAGCATACTGCTTCAGATAGAAAAGTCTCCGTTTCCATTTTAAAATTAAATCTAAGCTTACTTTGTTTCTGCTAGGTAGAAGCAATCTGTCTTTTTTTTTTTTTTTTCGTTTGCAAAACGGAAAAAAAAACCCAAAAGCAAAGAATTTTCTAACTATTAATGATTTCTGGAGAGAAGGGAACGAGCAGAGCTGGAAGTGTTTTCCCACGAGGGGGAGCCCTGAGAAAAGACCACGGAATCACAGAAGGGCTTGGGCTGGAAGGGACCTTTAAAGATCATCTTGTCCAACCCCTCTGCCAGGGACAACTTCCACTGGATCGGGTTGCTCAGAGCCCCATCCAACCTGGCCTTGAACACCTCCAGGGATGGGGCATCCGCAGCTTCTCTGGGCCACCTGCTCCAGTTTCTCACTACTCTTACGGTAAAGAATTTCTTCCTCACAGCTAATCAAAATCTGCCCTTTTCTAGTTTAAAACTGCTACCCCTGCTCTTGGTAAAAAAGTCTCTGTCCATCTCTCTTACGAGCCCTCTCTACGTACTGGGAGGTCTCCCCGGAGCCTTCTCTTCTCCAGCCTGAACACCCCCAACTCTCCCAGCCCCTCTCCATAGGAGAGGCATTCCAGCCCTCAGTTTTCGTGGCCCACCTCTGGACCCTCTCTCTGCGTTTGGGAGCTGTCAAAAAACCTGTGATGGTGTTCCTTCTTTATGTTCCCTTGTTTGTTCCTTAGAAACAATTCCTTCTGCCTCCAAGAGGAGCCCGGCACGCGCGCCAGCAGCCAAAGCTGGGGCTGGCTCCGGCTCCTGGCCCCGTGCCGGCGCAGAGGGTGGCTCAGAGCACCCTGCCCAGGGTGAGAGCAACCACAGCTCAAAGGCTGTTGTTATTTGCTGTTTGTCTTTGCTTTTTGTGGGCTGTTTAATAATGGTCCAAGATGTAAACATATGAGGGTAAAGATAATTTTCTGTAGCAGAATTCCGGGTGACACTGGTTTAAAGCTGCTATTAGAGACCGGGGAGTTGTCCCTCAGAGCCGTCTCTTTATCTTCTCATTCCCCATTTTACTTTTTTTGTCTTTTAACAGAAACCTTTCATCCCTTGAGGAAACTTAATTGTTACTGCCAGACATCCAAGAATAGCACTTATATGCCTTTTTTCCTCTGTCTCCTGCCATACCGAAACTCCCGGGTTGGATCTTTCATGCTGATACTCCAGGAGCTGGGTGGAAGAGGTCAGTTTTCGATTCAGGACTGAAGCAGAGAAGAAAAACCCTAAACCCTCTTATAGGGTATAGGTTAAACCTATACTACTCTTTGTAGTAAGAGATGTATTCAAGAATACTAAATTTGAAGACAGTGCTGGATTTGTATCACCCAAATTTTATTTTGTCTGTGGCTCAGTGTGCTGGAGGTGTAAATTGTTCCCCAGAAGTACTTTTAAAGTATAAAAGTGAAATGCCTCTGATGTTGGGAGTTGTTTGGATGCGAGAGTCTCCTCCTACCACTACTCTTTGGGTGGGTTTGATAAAATCTCTGCGACGAAGCTACTTGCATCAAAGTGCTGGCGATTGACAAAACAAATTTTGATTAGTTATTCTAACCAAGACTTTTTTTTAATCTTTCTGATATTGTAAAGCATTATTTTAAAATGTTATTAGGACAAGAAATGTAAACATAACTGTTTGCTTTGGTTGGTATTTATTAGATGAGAATATTTCTTGTCCTGGGTGGATTTTCATGAAAATACTTCCTTGAGCATCGTATGAGGATGCTTTTTAAGACTGACTGAATAATCAAATAATGTCCTGTTGTAGCAGGCCTATAA